GGCAGCTGTATGGCCTCTAATAGGACCAAGATTTATTTGTTTTTTATTTTCTTTCTGGTTTATGTGAGGAGCTGCCTTCCTTTATAGAGGGCCCCATGGACATGGGCTATGGTAAACCCATAGTGACTTTTGTGTACACGGTGATGGCCTTTTCTTTCCTCTAGCAAAATGCCTGGGTTAATGTCAAAAGCTCAGCCCTCTATGCTGAAGTCAATCAATTGAGAGCCTGGGTCCAAACTGTCCTGTCCAGAACCCCATTACCTGATTCCATTTTGAACAAAACTGTTCCAATTGATGTTATAGTACCTCTTCCAATTCTGTTGCTTGTGTTAGGTTTGACCAATTGAACCACATCAGTCAGTTCTGGGCAATAGTGGAGAGGCTCTGTTGGGTTGCTGTGTGGCAGTAGGCTGGCTGGGTTGATGGCTGAAGTTTTACAGAATTGGGTAAGGAGTTGGTCTAAGAGAAGTGCTTGATAACAAGCTATTTAGGTGTTGGACATCTATCTCACTGGGGCCTCTAGACTGTTGTGAAGTAATTCTACCAGAGAACACACAGAAACCCTTTTCTCTTTGTAATTTTATTTTATGTGTATTGGTGTGTTACCTGCATGTATGTCTAAGAACCATGTGTGCATGGTGTCCTTTGAGGCCAGAAGAGTGTCAGATCCCCTGGAACTGGAATTAAAGGTAGTTGTGAGCTGCCTTGTGGATGTTGGGACTAGAACCCAGGTCCTCTGGAAGAGCAGCCAGTGGCCTTAACCACTAAGTCATGTCTCCAGCCCAACACACAGAAACTTTTTTTTTTCCCCCGTGTAGCCCTGGCTGTCCTGGAACTCACTCTGTAGACCAGCTAGCCTGGAACACAGAGATCTGCCTGCCTCTGCCTCCCAAGTGCTGGGATTTGCCTAGCTCACACAGAAACTCTTAGAGCCAAATACAAAGTCCATATTGCTGGCTGGTGACTACATGGAAAACTTGCCCAAATCATGTGGCTCAAAGATTCAACATGTTTTTGCCTTTTATGTACAAAAACCACATCCTGTTTGACACACTTTGGTTAGCAAGAAGTGAAACTATAGAAGTCAAAAACAAAGGTTAGTACATTTAGGGACTTCCCCAGATCCTGGAACTGTGGATTAGGTCTTTGATAGATTAGGTCTTTGTTTCCATTTTGGCAGGTATTGAAGAGTATGTTCTGGGTCCTAAAGTTAAAATGGTGTCCCTACAAGTCCCCCAGAGCTCAGGGGAAGTGGGGGGGGCAGCGAATGGAGAGAGAAGTAGGAGAAAACGAGGGGGAGGAAAGGAAAACATGTGCGACCAGGAAGATTGAGCCTGGTTAGGAATAGAAGACAGGAAAGAGAGAGACAGAGAGAACATAAAAGAGGGAGCCAATATTGGTTTGAAGATAAAATTGAACACAAAGAAAGGTCTAGAGAACTACAAGACTGCTCCCAACTAACAATTTGAGCTTCCGTGGAAAGGCTATCATAAATGCCCTTCCCGGAGAGTGAGATCAACAACTAACTTATCCATGGAGCCCTCAACTAATGCCTGTTGGAAACAGGATCAAACACCCATACATAAACACTGAGTCAAACTAGAACCCAGATGCAGATGGAGAGGACAAGACCATGCGGCAGAAACACATACAGACAGCTTACCTGAACAAGGAGGAGCTAACGGCCACTAGACTGATAGCTGGGAAGCCAGCATGGGACTGAATATTGGTCTCAGCCAGAAGGACTGAGCAGTCTAAGGGACCTCAGACAGTGGAGCCAGGATGTATTCCTGGTGCACAAAAGGACTTTGCAAACACATCCCCCATGGAGGGATAACTGCCTTAATCTAGAGACAGGAGAGAAGCCCTAGTCCCTACTTCACATGACCTGTCAGACCTACATGACCCCAACTGGATGGCATTCCCCTACATATGGAATTGGGGTGGGGGGATGGGTGGGGAGGGTGGTTAGAGTGCATGTGAGAGGGCAGAGAGGGTAAAAGGGAGGGAAGGAGGGAGAGAACGAGGGAGGGAGGGAGGGGGAACTGGGATCAACATGTAAAATAATAAATTTAATTAAAAAAAAATGCTTTGACTCCAAAATTTAAGTTGAAGGACAAGTTACTGGGGAAAAGGATTTCTATTTTTGTTTCCACAGAAAATGAAAAGATGTGGATTCCTTCCAGACTAATGTGGTTTGATCAAGCCAGACCGCCTGAAACAAGAGTACGAGGTGATCCTACATTCAAAACAGCTGGACAAAGCAGCCTTACAGACTACAGCCAGGATTTCTGAATCTTCTTCGAATCCCCCATGACAGCACCCCTTACCAGCAGGAAGTAGTTTGGAAAGAACAACGCCCAAATTCCCAAATATTGGCTATAAATGTTTGTTTTCATTTAAATGGACTGTTATATAAAATAATTTAAAAAAAATGGTGTCCCTAATATGGCTTCAGTTGTGCTAAGGTCTCAGGGCCTGTTACAATATGTGGAACATTCCTTGAGCAGAGGATCCTGGATTAGGTGAACGAGTTGAGCAGTGGCACATATAAATTCATCTTTGGTTTTGTTTTTTGTTCTTATCTGTATGTTTTGCTTGCATATATGACCAAGCACCACCTGTGTGCCTGGTGCTCTTGAAGGTCATCAGATCCCTTGGAACTAGAGGTATGGACAGTTGTGAGCTGTCAAATGGGTGCTCTTAACCTCTGAGCTCTGTTCTTGAGTGTCATGTGACTTCCCCATAACTGGGAATTATGAGCCAAATAAACGTCCTCTTAAGTTGTTTTTGTTGGGGTATTTTGTCACAACAGGGAAAGAAACAAAGGCACATCACATTCCCTTGGTTCAGTCCCTAGCAACAAAGAAAGTTAATTTTCTGGGCTTGCTTCCCAGAGATAAGGTTAATGTGGAGCCATTGGAACCAGGACACAATAGCATGCCAGAGCAGCGTTCAGTCCTTCCATGAGTCTTGTGTGACTGGTTCTTCTGATCCCATAAAACCAGGAGTTTGTACAGAAAAGGGATACAGTAAATTATGATGGTATCTACATGAGGTAAGATACAGAGATAACAGATAAGGGCCTGAACTAGGATGCTACAAGGAGGCCATAAAATCCAGCAAGGCTGAGAAATATTTAGGAGATAAAAGTTAGCACAAGATGGATGATTGCTGAAGAAACAAGGCAAACAAGCTTTGATTGGAGGGAGTGACTATGATGGTTATTGATACTACAAAAAGGAGCAGGTGGTTATTAAGTCACTGGAGTGAGGTTTGCTAAAGGAATAAGACTCATTTCTCAAGGAGACATGTTCTTGGAAAAGGGTTTTTTGGTGGTCTATAAATCAGGAAAACTCTAGGATGTTGATAGTGAACATCAACCATCAGCTATTTGTTTGTCTTTGTTTTCTGAGATAGGGTCTCTCTGTGTAGCCCTGGCTGTCCTGGATGGAACTCTGTAGTCCTGGCTGGCCTTGAGATCCATCTTCCTCTGCCACCAGAGTGTTGGTATTAAAGGCATTAGCCACCAGCCTGGCAATTACCAGCTGTTTAAAAGCTCTAAAAGTCCTGAGTTAAAGTGTACGGCTTAACACTGCATTTTCCTAAATCTGCATTGCTAGAGAATGTTTCATTCGGTAGCATCTTACAGATGTTTTTAATCTTGTCTGGCAGTGCTGTGATGTATAAACCCAGGCTTTCACATATACCAGGCAAGTGCTGTACTTCTAAGCTACACTCCCAGCACCTACAATTCTTTGGGAAGAGCTAATGTAGAGGAAGAAACGGGAAATCAGATATGCACAAAGGTAACTTTTGGTAGTCACAACTGGGGTTGTGTAAGAATGGCATCTACTGTGTAGAGGCCAGGGATACTTCTTATCATACTATAGCAAACAATCCTCTCCATTTCTGTCTAACAAAAAAGTACCAGGCTTTAAAGTTAGTGGTATCACTGCTGAAAAACCCTGATATAGGACAAATATAAAATGCAAGCTGGCCAATGGTGGTGCATGCCTTTTATACTAGGACCTGGGAGGCAGAGACAAGTGGATCTCAGTGAGTTCAAGGCCAGTCTGGTCTACAGAGCGAGTTCCAGGACATCCAGAGCTACATAGAGAAACCTTATCTAGAAAAACAAACAAAACAAATGAAGAAACAAAATTAATTTCAAGAAATAGAAAACGCATCCACATTTTAACTCTGATGCTTTCCTTATCTAGTGGACAGGGGATAACAGACATTTGAAGAAGAAGATTCGAAGGTGTGATTTCTTTTCACTCTGGAAGCTGTCCAGGTACAGAGACACAGTGGTAATTAATGGTGACAAGTCTTACAACTGGTAAAGGGTCACAGAACCACCTTCAGTAGACGTGTTTTTTCATCCCTCCCTGCTATGGGATGAGGACTAGGAGCCTCCTCCCTTTTTGCAGCAGAGATGTAGCCAAGAGAATAATTCCCCCAGTCACATTCTGCAGAGTCAATTTCACACTCAGGTCTACTGGCTACGCTATAATAGTGTGGAAAAACTAGGTAGTCTCATTACAAAATCTATTTCCTTGACAGAACACAGGCTCCATAAGGAGTTCAAGGGAACTTGAGGTCACAGTCTAAAAGAGAAATGACATTTAAGGAACAACCAAAGAACACCCAGAGGGAAAGACCAGACACCTGAGCAAACAGGAAAGCCAATCATCCCGAGTCAAAAAATGCGATCAGCTGTAGATACCTGGGTCTCTACAAAGGTCGTTGTCGAACACGAGACCTTTCTTCGTTCCTCGAAAGCACCTACATTCTTGACACCAGTGGGCAAACACGGGAGCGTCTGAGGCTGGAATTCCCTAGCATCCACAACTCTAAAGCAGAAATAACAGAGCCAACGGCTTCCCGGCCGGTTTCATAAGCACCGCCCCAAGCCAGGAGCATGCGCAGCTCTCAATCTCGGCCCCTCCCAGCGCGGTTCCACCCCCGTCACAGAGCATGCGCTGTGCTCCAGCCGCCCCGCCCCTCCCTACCAGAGCTCCCTGTTCCTTAGAAACCGGGCGGCGTGTTCCCGGTATCGGTCCGCTGGGTTCCGGTGCCGGCGTATCCGCACTAACCTCCCTCAAGACGGACGGGCGGCCTCCGAAAGCCGTCCAGATCTATGGTCTCGCGAGCGGCTCTGGACCGGCGATGCCAGCGTGCCAGGTGAGAGGCAGCCGGCGGAGGGCGAAGGAGGGCATGGCGCTGCTGGGAGCGGGCGCTGGCCCGGCCTCTGCCGCCGCCCTGCTCCTGAGGTTGGAGGCGAGCATACGCGGGGCCCGAACTGGAGGAGGCCTGTGCTAAATCCCATTATGTGCACTGCACTTGAGTACGAGGGTCGCCCTGGGGTTCGTTTTCCCCACCTTAGAGATAGGACCTGCGCATTTGGAAGCGGAATTTTGGATCCTGTAGGATCTTGAACCTAACCCATCGTTATACAGATGTGAAACCCTAGGCTGCCTGGCCTGGTGCGGAGCAGACCACTCCAATCCTTACCTGTGTGAGGGTGGGCGCTTTGTAGATGACCATTTGTGAGATGTGGGAACTTCAGACAAAGGAGTCGTCCAGCTGGTCCATCTTCTCGCAAAATGAGATGGGATTTTCAGGCAGCATATATATAAGAAACTGGTGTTGAGGTAACAGCTTGAAAAAAGGAACATCCCAGAAATGTTTGGTTTACCCTTCCAGCCCCAAGTGCTGTGTCCTGGTTAGCCCTGGCCTACCTTTGTAGCTCAGGAAAACGATGACAACAACCACAACAAAAAGAGCTGCTGGATTTGGGGGGGGAGGGAGGACGACAAAAGACAGATGAAGTGTTCCTGCTAAGGCTTTATTACACCTAAATGTGAGGAAAGATGTGGCTGGGAGACAAGCACTTGTGAATGGGTATGTGAACAGTTTGCCTTCCAGACTGCAGCAGGATCTAAGGAACAGGACAGAAATGTAAAGGTATAAAACTGCATTGGTTATACAGCAAGGAAGTTATCATAGGTTGTGTTCATTGTTCCCAGTATCATGCTAAGGACAGAACACATGAGGAAGAAATCAAAGCCCAGCTCAGGCACTATTCTTATGAACAGTAGGCCCAAAGACTTCTTGATGGAAGACCATTCGGTTGGAAAAAAAAAAACAGCCCTTAAACTAGAAAAAGAAGACACAACATGATTATCATACAGAATGATAAGAAAAATGGTCTTTGAGTTAGGGAAGTGAGATTCATCTGTGATAAGGAAACTCATTTCCTTCTTAAACACACAGATACCAGAGATTACAAGCCTTTCAGGACACCCATTTTACAGAAAACAGAAAATTAATACTTTAGGGCTATGAGTTTAAAACATGTTTTGGGGCCAAGAATGGAGATTTTTGTATGCAACTCTATTGGTAGAACCCCTGCCCCCCAAATTTCTCTGTATAGACCTTGCTGACCTTCCCTGAAATTTGCTTGGTAAATCAGGCTGGTTTCAAATTCACAGAGATTCACTTGCCTCTGCCTCCCGAGTGCTGGGATTAAAATTATTCGACATCACATTCAGCTAAATTGACAGTTCTAAAGAATCCCTATTTTATAGAAAATTCTGTTATAAAGAATGTTCACTTACAATATGGTTGTCATTTTTTCTATGATATTATTGGTCTGGATCTAACCCCGTATTTATTCAATCTATTTATTAAGATTGGTTTTGATACAGCCCAGGTTGGCCTCAAACTCACTGTGTAGCTAAAATGACCCTAGACTTCTAACCCTCCTGCCTCCACTTTCCAAGTACTGAGACTTCACCACCATGTCTGGTTTTATAAGGCACTAGAAATAGAGCCCAGGGCCTTGTACATGCTAGGCATGCACTATAGGAACTGAGCTACAACTGTAATCTTCCATTACTAATATTTTTGTACATTTTATTAATTTATTTTGTGTGCATGAATTTAGAGGTCAGGGACAGCTAGTCCTACTATGTGGATCCTGGGGGTGGAACTTGGGTGTCAGGCTTGGCAGCAGGTAGTTTTACCTGATCAGCTACCTCCTGGCCTGTGTGTGTGTGTGTGTGTGTGTGTGTGTGTGTGTGTATAGAAATTCAAGTTGGGTAAGGTTGGTATGTGTCTGCAATTCTAACACCCAGGAGGTTGGAAGATAGCAAGTCCTGGGCCAGTCTGGGTTGCATATTAAGATCATGTTTCAAAAACACAAAAAGAGGGTCAGAGAGATGGTGCAGCGGTTAAGAACGCTTGATGTTGCTGGGCAGAAGTGGCACATGCCTTTAATCCCAGGACTTAGGAGGCAGAGATGGGTGGGTCTTTGTGAATTTGAGACCGGCTTGGTTACAGAGTGAGTTCCAGGACAGCCAGGACTACATAGAGAGATCCTCTCTTGGAGAAAAACAGAAAACATTTGATGTTCTTGCTCTGGATGGGTTAGGTTTCCAGCACTCACGGGGTAGCTCACAACCATCCACAAATCCAATTCCAGGGAGTCTGCTATTCTCTTCCTGCCTCCTTGGGCACCATGTATGCACAGGCAAAACACAACAATATAAAATAAATTAAAAAATGTTTTAGAATAAATAAAATTTCTGAAAGTTCAATGCCAGTCTGATCTTAGAATCTAACATAATATGAACAAACAAACATCAACAAAAGCCTAGAAAATTCAGAAATATGATTTCTGTAGTAATTTAGGTTTCAGAGTGAGCTCTTGTCTCAAAGAAACATGTATAGCCAGGCCTGGTAGCAAATACTTTTAATCACAGTATTCAGGAGTAAGGGGCAGACTGATCTTGATGAGTTCAAAGTTCTGAGATAGCCAGTGTTACATACATGGTTGAGAGTCTCAATAAAAAATGTACACTTCTGTTTTGAGCCAGGATTGCATGCTATAGCCCAACCTAGCCTGAAACTTTCTTAGCTATCCTCCTGCCTCAGTTTCCCAAGTCAAGACCCATCATACCTGGTATAAATAACAATCTTTTTTAAAAATTTTGCATGCAGGTGTGTGCCTGTTGCCATTGAAAAAGTAAGTGTCAGAACCACTAGAATTAGCCTTAATGGGTGGTTTGGGGACTAACAAATGCTGTTAATTGCTGAGCTTCAGCCCTACATAGGAGTTTGGTTTTGTTTGTTTTTGGTTCATTGAGACAGGGTTCCTCTGTGGCTTTGGAGGCTGTCCTAGAACTAGCTCTTGTACCAGGCTGTTTTGTTTTTTTTAAAGATTTATTTTGGGTGACTGAAGAAATGGCTCAGCGGTTAAGAGCACTGGCTGCTTGCTCTTCCAGAGGATCCAGATCTGATTCCCAGCCACCACGTGGCAGCTTATACCATCTATAACTATAGTTCTAGGGGATCCAATGCCCTTTTCTGGCCTCCATGAACAACAGGCACACATAGTGCACAGATGTATGAGTAGGCAAAACACTCATACACATAAAATTTTAAAACTTTGGAGCTGGAGAAATTGCTCAGCCATTAGGAACCTTGAAAAATAACATTTAAAAAAGAGATTGTGTGTGTGTATGTGTGTGTGTTTTCCTATATGTATGTATATGTACCATATGTGTGGCTGGTGCCCATGAGGGCCAGAAGAGGTCAGATCTCCTGGTACTGGAGTTATAAATGGCTATGAATTGCCATGTAGGTGCTAGGAACTGAACCCAGCCCCTCCGTCATAGCCTCTTTTGGTTTCTTTTCTTTCTTTTTTCTTTCTTTCTTTCTTTCTTTTTTTTTTTTTTTGTTTGTTTGTTTGTTTGTTTTAAGATAGGCTTTCTCTGTAGCTTTGGAGGCTGTCCTGAAACTCACTCTATAGACTGGGCTGGTCTTGAACTCACAGAGATCCCCTGTCCCTGCCTCCTAAGTGCTGGGAGTCAGTATTCTTAGAAGGCATTGTTATGTTGGAATGTGTTCGTTGTGCTTAGATATGGCTTCATTGTGCTTCATGGGTTGTGGGTTTTTTGTTTGTTTGTTTGTTTTTTTTTTTTTTTTTTTTTTTTTTTGAGTTTTGCTCTCAGACACTTTTTTCAAAGAAAGGTGGACTTATAGGAGACTCTCCGGGTGTTTCTAAGTTACTATGGCAATGATACCTTTGACAAATAATTGCCTAACATCCACTCCATTTTCAGGGTAAGTGAGGGCAGCTATCAGCTCTGACCTGCAATAAAGTAATCACTAGTGTTTGACAGTTCAGCTGCAAGGAACTCTTACCAGATAAACCAGTAATGCTAACAGAATCTACTTTCACTGAACTGACTTTCTGATTTTCCTATCGGGGAAATAGAGAGGGCATGCAGTACCCTCTTATAAAGTGAGTCTGTGACACAGAGGTTTAGTGGTTAAAACAGATTAGCCAGGCCAATCAGCACTTGGGAGGCAAAGGCAGGTGGGTCTTTTGTGAGTTCCAGGATAGCCAGAGCTATATAGTAAGACCTTGTCTCAGATAAAGGAAGGGATAGAGGAAAGGGAGGAGGGAGGGAGTTTTTCTGCATCTGTATAAACCTCTGGGCTCAAGACTACAGCAAACAAGAGAGTTTATATTTGAAGATGAAAAAAATCCAAATTACTTAAAAATTTAGATGTCATGTCTAATTTTATTTCATTTGTTTTTCTTGTTCTGGGCATTGTGCTTAGGACTCATGCATGCTACTAGACAAGTGTACTTCCACTAAGGTATATTCCCAACGCCCTCAATTTCTTACATACTTCTAAGAAATGTGAATAAAAGAGCAGCAGGGTACATGTGGAAGGCTGAGGCAAGAGGCTTGCAAATTCAAGGCCTTTGTGGGCTACAGAGTGAGTTCAGAACCAGCCTGGACTTTGGCAAGACCCTGTATCAGATTAAAAGTGAAAAAGGACTCCCATTCAGAGAGAGCACTTGCCTAGTAAGTACACATCCTGGGTTCAGTCCCAGTACCATCTTGAAAATTAAAATAAAAGATATTGAGAAAAAAAAAAATCAAAGACTTCCCCATTCTATTAAATTTTTTTTCTTTTGGTTTTTCTAATAGCCCTGACTGTCATGAAACTCGCTCTGTAGACCAGGCTGGCCTCAGAACTCACAGAGATCCACCTGCCTCTGCCTCCCCAGTGCTGGGATTAAAGCTGTACACCACCACACAGATCTTATGTTTGGGTTTTGTTTTGTTTTGTTTTTAGGGTATCGACGTTGTGCATGCTAGGCA